AGCGGCGGTCAGGCATGAGCCGGGCTGCAGGGGTGCCCTGGGAGGGGCTTGGTCCTGTGAGGGCAGGGCAGGGAGAGGAGTGGTGGAAGTGTGTGTGGACCGCGTGGCCTGGTCAGGCTTCCTGTGACTGACTGCTGGCACAGGCCGTGGCGTGCCCTCCTTGTCTGGCCTCGGCCCTCCTGTGGCCTGGTAACCTCACAGTGTCTGCACTGACGTGGAAGAGCCCTCAGTGCACGAGGGGCCCCTGGAACACAGGGGTGGTGCCCCCTCCTTAGCCAGACAGAGCCTCGCTGGAGGCTGGAGGCTGGAGGCTGGAGGCTGGGGGCTGGAGGAGGCCCCGCTGACCAGTGGGACAGCGCCCAGCGGCGCGGCCGGGGACACAGGCACCATGTCTAGGTGGAAAGCTGCGGCTGCGCCCAAGGCCCGGCTGCCTGCTGCCTGGAGCACTCGCTCAGCAGGGGCGGCGAGACACCCGTGGGAACTGCCTGCAGGGGGAGGGCTCGGCCTGGGCGGGAGCCCGTCTTGTCCACGAGGTGGTTTGGGTTAGACGCTGTGCTGCGCTTTTGGTCACTTGACCTGCCGCCGGGACAGTGGGCTTCTCAGCCACTGCACACTGGCCTTGGAGTGGTGGGTGCCGACGCCTCGCGAGAGCCAGAGCACCCTGTCGTCCGCGAAGTTAACAGAACACTCTCCTGTGCTATGAACAGAAAAGGCCCACTTTGGGGAGAAGGGAGGCCAACGTCACGACCCCGGTCTGCACGAGGGTCGATGCCAGGACTGCACCCGGGCAGGCGTCTCTAACACTCGTGTCTTCCCCAGGTGGCAGAGGGGACGGCGCAGGCGGTGCTGAGGGCGCTGACGTGGAGGTGAGGCATGCGACTTGGCCCCTGGCCGCGTTAGCTGGGGGCCATGCTGGCAAGCTTTCTGTTCATGGCTGGGAACATTTCTGAAATAGTGTCGTCTAGACAAAGACAGCGCACGCCCTCTAACCCCAGCGAGGGCAGGCACAGGGCGCCTGCAGACCTGGGCGTAGGTAAAAGTGTCTGTCCTCGGATTACAGCTCAGTATCTGCTCATCGTTTAAAATACGGAAAGCGTGGTCCCCACGAGGAGGGCTTGCGTTTCTGCATTTCCCAACCAGCGGCACCAAGCGAGGGCCCGAGCGTAAGCTCTTTTCTGCGTGGTTGCCGTCCCGCTGTCCCGCCGTCCTGCCATACTGCGAGGGCCGGCCCGTTGGCTCGCTGTCTCAGGGCCAGCTCATTTAGCACACCTGCCAACGCAGCCACCAGCCCCAGCCCTGTGGGATTCGACTCACGTTTAAATGTGCTAAAGTCCAGTGTGTGGGCGAAGTTCCGGCCCCTGACCTGCTCAGCCCATCCCATGTGCCCATAGGCTGTGTCAACTGCAGGCTCAGGCCTGGGGTGGGAATAGGGGTGCGCAGCGCTGGGGCTGGGAGTGGGCGGGGCCTGCAGAACTGCCCATGCTGGGAAGGGTGACTTAGGGAGGGTGTGGGTGCAGACAGTGCCATGCCCTGGACCCACGTGCTTCCTCTCAGTCCACCAGTCCCCCTAAGGCCCTCTGGTTGTCCACACGCCCTAAGGAAGGCTGTGGAGGGTCAGCTCCCATGGTGATGACAGCCAGTGGCCCTGAGCCGATGCTGGGCCTGGAGAGGCAGGCCCTGGTTAGCAGCCCTCAGGCCGAGCATCCTTGTGGCCGGAGGCACTCCAGCCAGCACCGGGCCAGCGCTGCAGTGATGTGTCCCCGATGTCCCTCAGGGACACTGGGCATCCTTGCTGAGTCCTGGAGGGAGCCACGACTGAAGAGCCTGTCCCTTAATTTAGGACATGGCAGAGGGAGGCCAGGAGTGACCGAGGCACGCAGCCAAACCCTGTCGGGCTCAGGTTAGGGACTCGCAGAAGCGCTGAGTCCCTGGGCTTCCGGGTGGAGGCTCCCCGGCTTTGGCGCCATGACCCTCCACCTCTGTCCATGGTTGCCACGTGTTTCTCTGCTGCTTCGGGTCCATTTTCAAGCAGATTTTCTTTTTTCAGAAAGGGTTTTGAATGTCATATTTCTAAACTGTTATTTAAATAATCACATCCTCCTTTCCCCTCCATGAAACGATGTGAGTGAGAAGATTGTCCCTCGGGACGCCATCTGTCCTGTTAGAGACCTCCGTCACCCCGAGTCCCAGCTTGAGCAAATGTTTTCATCAAACCCCTACTTTGTCTAAATATCCAAAATCTCAAAAGGAAAGTTATGATGATTTTTAGTCAAAAAGCAAGCACTCTCCTTCGTAGGCCTTCCCGTCTCCTAGACCATTCATGGAGCAGGGCGTACAGCGCGGTGGTTTCCGGCTCTCCGGCACGGCATGGGAGGTGATCGGGGAACGCAATGCTGGGCCAAGCGGGTGGAGTCCGTGCCATCTCCGCACGGTGTCTCTGTCCCATGTGGCGGTCCTGGTCTGCGGGGGCGCAGCCCGCCCGGGGGTGCTGGTCTGCGGGGGCGCGGCCCACCCCGGAGGTGCTGGTCTGCAGGGGCGCGGCCCACCCGGGGTACAACAGCTCCCACCTCAGTCAGCCCCGAGGCCTGCCTCTGGGCCCACCGGCCCGCTCCTCCCTGCCCGGGTAGGGGGCAGACTATGACTTCCATGCTGCGAGCCGTAGAGCCTGCTTGGAGCCCTTAGGCCCGGGCTGGCGCTCTTTGCTGAACACAGTCCACGCCCGACACGTGCTGGTACAGAGAGGAGCAGTGAGCCCACGGGCGGCCGATGCCGGCCAGTGGCTGGGAGGGAGCTCTGTCCCAAGCACTGGGGACCCCAGGCCTGACACCATGTGGGTGCGGATGCCCCCCACAGCGTGCCTGCTCGTGGGCAGCCTCTGCCTCGGTTTCCCCGTCTGCAGGGTGGGTGTTCCTACCCCACGGCGCTCTCTGGAAGACGAGCTGATGCACGCGGGGGTGAGCGCGCACCGCCAGAGCTCCGTGAGTGCCAGTGGTTGTGGCCTCCAGAAGGTGGGGAGGGTCCTGACGGCGTACAGGCGCTGCAGGCCTCCCCGACCCAGGCAGACCCTTCTGGAAGGTGTGAGGAGGCAGGAGGGGAGCGCTGGGTGGCTCTGACACGCGCCTTTGTGCTGTTCGGGCCTCTCGTGTGGAGGTGCTGCCCCACGCAGGCGCTGCCACGTCTTCTGTCCCGCCCCCACAGCCATCTCTGTCTCCTCCTCCCTAGGTCAGTCGTCTCGGGGACCAGCTCGGAGACCTGTCCGGGGGCCGGGGGCCCCCCTTCTTGCCTGGAGCCCCCCGTCCTTCAACATCCCTTGAAGCAGAGATGAAGAAGTCACGAGACCCCGAGGCCTCGTCAT